GATTGCAAGCGCTGACACTCCACAGCGGAACCCTCTACCTCTAAACCCGGTCGCAGGAAGAGCAGGTTCACAAACAGGAAAGTGATGTCCGCCTATGGCGAGGGTCATGTAGTTTAAGTTAATGTGCGCAAAAAAGGGACGCAAGTCTATCGCAAAACAGAAAGACTTGACGAGAGAATTTTAATGAAATCAATTTGGTTTTTAGGTTTCGTGCTTCAGGGATATTCAGACGACTACTATACAGGTGCTGGTATAGGCTATCATTGGCATTTATAACTCGGCATCAGAGCCCACGTAATCAAAATACAGCAGGACCCATATTCTAAACAGCAGGGTGTCGCATAAACTCCTTCGGGAACGCCCTCGACTGCAAATTATATTTCTTGGGACGATTACCTTTCAACAGAGTGCAGTATGCATGAAAAAAAACTTGCATCCCAAGAGATATACTTATAAACAAGCGAAGTTTTTTGGCAACGGAACAATGTTCATTGTGTAGATGGTCGTGTCTGGTCCCTCAGCTCGTTGTCAGGTAAACGGGCGAAAATACTTAACTTTAAACACAGGCATTCGATTTCTATTCATCGCGTACGGAACCGAGTTGGAAGGTTCCAGAAACTAGGGTCTCCCTGATAATCAAAGGTGCTGCGGTAGGCCAGCGTCGAACCAAAAACTCGTTTTCAGGATAACTGCCAACTGACCATATAACTAGACAGCGGGTAAGCAGGCAAAAGGTAACGTGCTGTGATTTCAGATCGTCGGTTGTGCCTTTGTATTTCAACTCAAGTTGACGAAGCCTCAACGTCAGCAGTGTTGACTACTCCACGGAGCCGCTTGCGAGTAGGCACGGTAGACCAAGCATATTGCTCAATCATCCCGGATGCGTTTAGAAAGTACCACAGATGAGCTGCACGAAGAACATCGCATCAGTAGCGCAGCTTTCTCATTTTTAACAGCTAAAGTATTAGTCGACGAATAAAAATCCGCATAAGGGCGGCTAAATCATAAGCCAGGTCCTGGCTGAGTCCCTTGCTATGATAAGTTGTGTATTTTTATTTCGACACACCTGCCAACGACGGCCAATAGGGAGCATAAAATGCGGAACAGTGGTGGAGATGTCTTGGCAGTCAACAACAGCGTATGATGATCAGTATGTCCGACAGCAAATATGTCATGTGTGTCAAATTGATTCCATCTATAAAATACACTAGGTGTTCTAACTCATGAAATGCCATAGTAAAGGACCAATGGTTCTCAAAAAGAAGGTATAATACGATTTATCAAGTAACATTACGTAGTTTAGAAATACCAACTGTTTTAGAAAAGTGGAAAAATCCGAAAAAGTGGAAATCAGGCGCATTAGGTAAACTTAAGTTTTAAATTAAGAGGAAGTTTGTTCACACAAAAATGACTGGATAGAGCAGCACAAGTACACTTTCGTTGGAAAGTAGCCGTTTTTAAACTTTTCGGATATATATGCTTCCATTTTGCGCGAAATTTAACGTATGGTAGCTACTGAACAGCGCAGATGTCGAGTATATATTCCAACATGGTTTCAGGAGAATTGCTAATTATTTCTTCCGTTTCTAAATTGTTGGAGTTACGGTGGACAAAGGCAACTAGATTTTCGCTTGATAAAGCCGGCTGGAAGGTTACAAGATATCTCATGAGCTCACGTGCGGACATGCCGATCAGTGATTCATAAATTTAATTGGAATTGTCAGATGCAATGGTAAATGTACTATTTTGTGCACACTAAGAGAAATGTCCTTACATCAAATTCTCCTGTTATTATTTCGGGGTTTCGATTAAGATGTGGTTCAGATCGTTTTTCAGATGTGGGGTTACAGTTCACAATTTTCACTGGCTTCTGTCTATTGGCCATAAATAAGGGTTATATTCTACTTGCTTTCCAAAACCTCCAAACTTAGATATTCCTTAAAATAATTTACCTACGAATTTACACGCCAAAGATGAGTTAAAAAACTTTCTATAACAAGTTACCTCTTGTAAAAGCGCTTTACTTAGATATTTCGGCGTCGAATGTCTGCGTACTTTATTTTTCAAGGATAAGTTAAAGATCAAAATGGGAACTCTGACCAGTTTTTGGACAACCCAAAAATAAGTGATATATCTTCTTTTCAAAATGAAAAAAACCTTGTTTTATATGTACAGTTCTGCGAATCCTGCAAGCAAAATTCAGGTCGAAATGTAACCGGGTAATTAAGGGTGTATCTGGACAGGTTATTTTGATAAACTGGGTGGATTTAATTATAAGAAGGGCTTTGGTTTGGAAAACTGCCCTCTGATTTAAAGTTATTGGGGGAAATAGGCTCTCACTTTTGCTAAATCATGCGTATGTTTATATAAAAGTAAGTCCGTATGCTATAAGGAAAGACAGAACCAAACTTTCTTCTAATGTACATTGTGCTGTGGAAGAATTCCATAATTAGTAAAGAAAGGTGGAATAATA